TTTTCCTCTAAAATATTTTCGAAAATAATTTGGAGGAAGTGATTAATTTTTCAACTGAAAAATATATAAATAAATTGTAATTTCACAATTTTCCTCCAAAATATTTCCGAAAATAATTTGGAGGAAGTGAATAATTTTTAAACTTAAAAATATATAAAGAAATTGTAATTTCAAAATTTTCCTCCAAAATATTTCCGAAAATAATTTTTAGGAAGTGAATAATTTTTAAACTTAAAAATAAATTAAGAGATTGTAATTTAAAAATTTTCCTCCAAAATATTTCCTAAAGTAATTTGGAGGAAGTAAATAAATTTTAAACTTAAAAATATATAAATAGATTTTAATTTGAATTTTTTCCTCCAAAATATTTTCGAAAATATTTTTGAGGAAGTGAATAATTTTTAAACTGAAAAATATATAAATAGATTGTAATTTCAAAATTTTCCTCCAAAATATTTCCGAAATTAATTTGTAGGAAGTGAATAATTTCTAAACTTAAAAATATATAAATAGATTGTAATTTCAAAATTTTCCTCCAAAATATTTCCGAAAATAATTTGGAGGCAATAAATAAGTTTTAAACTAAAGAATATATAAATAAATTTCAATTTTTTTCTCCAAAATATTTTCGAAACTATTTTGGAGGAAGTGAATAACTTTTAAACTTAAAAATATATAAATAGATTGTAATTTTAAAATTTTCCTCCAAAATATTTCCTAAAATAATTTGGAGGAAGTGAATAATTTTTAAACTTAAAAATATATAAATAGATTGTAATTTCAAAATTTTCCTCCAAAATATTTCCGAAAATCATTTGGAGGAAGTGAATAATTTTTAAACTTAAAAATATATAAATAAATTGTAATTTCACAATTTTCCTCCAAATTATTTCCGAAAATAATTTGGAGGAAGTGAATAATTTTTAAACTTAAAAATATATAAAGAGATTGTAATTTCAAAATTTTCCTCCAAAATATTTCCGAAAATAATTTTTAGGAAGTGAATAATTTTTAAACTTAAAAATAAATTAAGAGATTGTAATTTAAAAATTTTCCTCCAAAATATTTCCTAAAGTAATTTTGGAGGAAGTGAATAAATTTTAAACTTAAAAATATATAAATAGATTGTAATTTCAAAATTTTCCTCCAAAATATTTCCGAAAATAATTTGGAGGAAGTGAATAATTTTTAAACTTAAAAATATATAAATAAATTGTAATATCAAAATTTTCCTCCAAAATATTTCCGAAAATAATTTGGAGGAAGTGAATAATTTTTAAACTTAAAAATATATAAATAGATTGTAATTTCAAAATATTCCTCCAAAATATTTCCGAAAATAATTTGGAGGAAGTGAATAATTTTTAAACTAAAGAATATATAAATAAATTTCAATTTCAATTTTTTCCTCCAAACTATTTTCGAAAATATTTTGGAGGAAGTGAATAATTTTTAAACTGAAAAATATATAAATAAATTTTAATTTCAATTTTTTCCTCCAAAATATTTTCGAAAATATTTTGGAGGAAGTGAATAATTTTTAAACTGAAAAATATATAAATAGATTGTAATTTCAAAATTTTCCTCCAAAATATTTCCGAAAATCATTTGGAGGAAGTGAATAATTTTTAAACTTAAAAATATATAAATAGATTGTAATTTCAAAATTTTCCTCCAAAATATTTCCGAAAATTATTTGGAGGAAGTGAATAATTTTTAAACTTAAAAATATATAAATAGATTGTAATTTCAAAATTTTCCTCCAAAATATTTCCGAAAATAATTTGGAGGAAGTGAATAATTTTTAAACTTAAAAATATATAGATTGTAATTTCCAAATTTTCCTCCAAAATGTTTCCGAAAATAATTTGGAGGAAGTGAATAATTTTTAAACTTAAAAATATAAAAAGAGATTGTAATTTAAAAATTTTCCTCCAAACTATTTTCGAAAATATTTTGGAGGAAGTGAATAATTTTTAAACTGAGAAATATATAAATAAATTTTAATTTCAATTTTTTCCTCCAAAAAATTTTTTAAAATATTTTGGAGGAAGTGAATAACTTTTAAACTTAAAAATATATAAATAGATTGTAATTTTAAAATTTTCCTCCAAAATATTTCCTAAAATAATTTGCAGGAAGTGAATAATTTTTAAACTTAAAAATATATAAATAGATTGTAATTTCAAAATTTTCCTCCAAAATATTTCCGAAAATAATTTGGAGGCAATAAATAAGTTTTAAACTAAAGAATATATAAATAAATTTCAATTTTTTCCTCCAAAATATTTTCGAAACTATTTTGGAGGAAGTGAATAACTTTTAAACTTAAAAATATATAAATAGATTGTAATTTTAAAATTTTCCTCCAAAATATTTCCTAAAATAATTTGGAGGAAGTGAATAATTTTTAAACTTAAAAATATATAAATAGATTGTAATTTCAAAATTTTCCTCCAAAATATTTCCGAAAATCATTTGGAGGAAGTGAATAATTTTTAAACTTAAAAATATATAAATAGATTGTAATTTCAAAATTTTCCTCCAAAATATTTCCGAAAATTATTTGGAGGAAGTGAATAATTTTTAAACTGAAAAATATATAAATAAATTTTAATTTCAATTTTTTCCTCTAAAATATTTTCGAAAATAATTTGGAGGAAGTGATTAATTTTTAAACTGAAAAATATATAAATAAATTGTAATTTCACAATTTTCCTCCAAAATATTTCCGAAAATAATTTGGAGGAAGTGAATAATTTTTAAACTTAAAAATATATAAAGAGATTGTAATTTCAAAATTTTCCTCCAAAATATTTCCGAAAATAATTTTTAGGAAGTGAATAATTTTTAAACTTAAAAATAAATTAAGAGATTGTAATTTAAAAATTTTCCTCCAAAATATTTCCTAAAGTAATTTGGAGGAAGTGAATAAATTTTAAACTTAAAAATATATAAATAGATTGTAATTTCAAAATTTTCCTCCAAAATATTTCCGAAAATAATTTGGAGGAAGTGAATAATTTTTAAACTTTAAAATATATAAATAAATTGTAATATCAAAATTTTCCTCCAAAATATTTCCGAAATTAATTTGGAGGAAGTGAATAATTTTTAAACTTAAAAATATATAAATAGATTGTAATTTCAAAATTTTCCTCCAAAATATTTCCGAAAATAATTTGGAGGCAATAAATAAGTTTTAAACTAAAGAATATATAAATAAATTTCAATTTCAATTTTTTCCTCCAAAATATTTTCGAAACTATTTTGGAGGAAGTGAATAATTTTTAAACTGAAAAATATATAAATAAATTTTAATTTCAATTTTTTCCTCCAAAATATTTTCGAAAATATTTTTGAGGAAGTGAATAATTTTTAAACTGAAAAATATATAAATAGATTGTAATTTCAAAATTTTCCTCCAAAATATTTCCGAAAATCATTTGGAGGAAGTGAATAATTTTTAAACTTAAAAATATATAAATAGATTGTAATTTCAAAATTTTCCTCCAAAATATTTCCGAAAATTATTTGGAGGAAGTGAATAATTTTTAAATTTAAAAATATATAAATAGATTGTAATTTCAAAATTTTCCTCCAAAATATTTCCGAAAATAATTTGGAGGAAGTGAATAATTTTTAAACTTAAAAATATATAGATTGTAATTTCCAAATTTTCCTCCAAAATGTTTCCGAAAATAATTTGGAGGAAGTGAATAATTTTTAAACTTAAAAATATAAAAAGAGATTGTAATTTAAAAATTTTCCTCCAAACTATTTTCGAAAATATTTTGGAGGAAGTGAATAATTTTTAAACTGAGAAATATATAAATAAATTTTAATTTCAATTTTTTCCTCCAAAAAATTTTTTAAAATATTTTGGAGGAAGTGAATAATTTTTAAACTTAAAAATATATAAATAGATTGTAATTTCAAAATTTTCCTCCAAAATATTTCCGAAAATCATTTGGAGGAAGTGAATAATTTTTAAACTTAAAAATATATAAATTGTGACAACCAAAATCGAGATTTAATAAAAATGAGAAATTTAAGGGTTCGACTCGTCCGGGAGGCACAATTTTCACAAAGAAAATTCCCACGTGGTTCCAAACATTTGGGTGCATCTACAGCAGCAGAAACAATGAGCGATTCCGCAGGCAAGCAAGTTTGAAATGAACGAGAAGAGTAATGTCGACTGAACTTACCAAGAAATGACGCTATTGTTGTAGTTGAATAGACAAATTGACCTGCTATCCGTGGTATGGAAATTATCCAAGAGAATGCACACAACTAAGCCACAATATTAATTAAACAGAATATATATTTATTAATTTTGAAATAGTCCATTCTCTACAATACACAAACTAAAGAGTTAAATTATAAACCGCGATATAATATGTGTTTCGTGCGACGGATCGCTTCGCTCTGCTCCTTCAATTGGCGACGACGAAAACGTGGTTTTGTCGTCTGTTCGGAATGCGGTTGACTTACGCCGTCTGGCGGATTATTTTAGCATATATCGCGGGACCATTTAAATTTTGGGGAACTGTTGGTAACGACCATATTTAATAAAATAAAATGAAATACGATTCTTTTCATGATCGTTACAACTCCCCCCTTCTAAATTGTCGTTACTAACAGTTCAACTGTTCAGCCGATCATCTCTAGTAGATGACGATCTCGTCTCATACCCACTTGCCTGTATGAAATGAAAAATGGTAATTTGAAACATTGTTAAACATTAGTAATAAAAACAAGTGAAAATAATAGAAATAACGGGAATCGCTCATAGCTGCTTGTACGCGACTAATCAGTTACTAGAGAAGCTTAGTTGTGTGTGTAATATAACGCCTGAAAGAAGGATATAAAAGTCAGAGACAGAAGATCTCATTTTAATTATTTTATTTATACAAAACAGTAGAAAAATATAGACTTTCTTTGGTCTAACTAGTTACTTGTTTAAGTGGTATACACTAGAACGAATAAGAAAAAAAATTTTTTTTTTTTTTTTAGCTGTTTGTCAATAATATTCAAAACATAAAAAGTAAATTAAAAATAGAAAAAGGTTCTTCGTAGCGCAACGGCGCAGAAATATAGTGTCTAACATTGAGGTAGATAATTGAATAGCGCAACGGCGCGGAAATATAACAATTAGCATATAGAAATGAAATAATGAACAGCGCAACGGCGCGAAGATAAATTTGAAAAATTTTAAACAAAATATAGAAAAGTGTTTTTTTTTTTTTTGAGTTCGACGAATGAACAGACCGCGGATCACAGATCATTTTTTTTTTCCTTCTTGATCCCAAGATGAATCACTTCGGTGAGTGTTTCCCAATATTCCGCGTTGTCGTTGTCGGAGTCGAATGGGGATAGGGCTGACCTTGGGGATTCCTCTGAGGTCTCTTTAGTATGGACCTCGGCCTTGAGCGTTTCGCTGACAGTTACAGCATCCAATTTATCTGGCAGTTTTACAACCGCGGTTTCTAGAGAAAGAGGTCCTTTGGATGGAGCTGGTAGCGCTTTCTGTTTTTTTATGGCACCTTGGCTACTGGATGGTTGTGGATTGTTATGAGCTTTTGGGACTGGTCTGCTCTCCAATTCCTGGGCAGTCTTATTCCGCGCGAAGGTGTTAGAAGAGATTAAACGTCTTCTACACTCGTAACAATTGACGTCAGGAAAGTTTCGCGGTCTCCAGCAATGCTTGCATCGGTTACTTTCCGGAACCTGGTATCTGACCATGGCATAATGGGGCCATGGGCAGTCTGCCGTGGAAAACCCTTCGATGGCGCACTTTTGGCAGTACTTCCCTGTGTACGGCTGCTTGCACAATCTGAAACTGTGACCCTGTTGACCGCAGTTTAGGCACCCCTCGGATGCTTTCGGGCGTAGTCTCGGCTCCCGTAGTTCCGCCTGGGCAAGGAAGACTTCCGACATCTTTTTGGAAAAGAGCTCTTTGAATCTCTTATTCAGTATTTCGACCGCGGTATAATCGTTGGATAGACTTTTGTAGTCGTAATCGTACGACTCAAGGTCCGCCTTCATTGATTTGTTCTCTACCTTGTATTCGGCCAACTCCTTCTGGGCTGCAACTAGGGAGTTAGATAATTCGCGCTCCCTTTGTACGGAATCGAGCAGCTTGCGATATAAGTCAGTAATATCGCTCGATGTATTGTCTCGACTCTGTGTTGCCTTACCCGCGTCGACCTGACGGCGTAACGAACGGATTGTATCACTTTGTTCTGCGACTGTTTTCATTAGGGCTTGCTGTTTTGAAAGTAGCCCCTCGAAATGTTCACGCCTCAAGGCTACCAGGCCAGAGGTTTCCACCGAAATGTCTAGTGGTGTATCCCCTCTTTGGGAAGGATCTGAAACATCATTCAGGCACAGGATTGGTATGTCCGTGTTGTTGATGCTGCCGGCGTACGAACTGCATGGAGTCGACATGTTAACCGATCTGGAAGAAATTTACATTATGTTTCGCGATCGAAGGTTCTTTCGTGCTGGTTTAAGATCGTTGACATGATATTTGCCAATTTTCATGCCTTGTTTATCGCCAATGACGACTACCATGGGTGATAATTTTTCTATTATCACGGCTGGCCCTTTGTAACGCGGTGCCAGTTTGGAGCTATAATTACGAGCAGCGTTGGACAAGACATTGTTAGGGTAAAATACGAAATCTCCAAGCGCAAAACCTACTGGGACTTTTCGATTTTTATTATAATTCTTACCGTGTCTCTTATCAGCTTTGGTCATTTCTACCTCGATTTTCGCACGGAGTGCCTCTATATGTTTTGCTCGTTCGAGCCAATCGTTAGAAGTTTCGTCTGTAGTCATTAAGTCATCGTTAACGTCGGGTGATTGTTTACCGGTGCGTCTTAGCTCACGGAGGTGGTTAAAGTACGCGGGTGATACTCCTAACGAAGAGTGTACAGTATTATTATAAGCGAATTGTATCTCTTCTAAGAGAATATCCCATTCGCGGTGATCAGTGCCTAGAAGGCTGGCAATCATTGTTTTTAAATTGCGGTTTACGCGTTCTACTGGATTTGATTGCGGGTGTTATACCGGGGTTGTACGTTGCTCGGAACCGACTTTACGCATAAAATTTGTGATGTTGCGGTTGACGAATTCCGTCCCGTTATCGGTTATAAAAATTCGCGGAGTTCCCCATCGATTTACGAGGGTGTTTAGAGCTCTGACGATTTTTGGTCCATCCGCTTTGGGCAGTGGAAAGCAATCTATAAACCGGGTATACGTATCTTCGCAAACTAGTACGTAGCGTTTACCGGATTTTGACCGTGGGAGGGGGCCCATGATGTCGAGGGACACGATTTCCCATGGTTCTTTCAGTTTCCGCGGATACATTAAACCTTGCGGAGGTGTATTCTTAGGTTTGCATTTGAGACATATTTCGCATTCATTAATGTACCGTTTTATATCCTCACGCATACCGGGCCAATAGTGTAGGTTAAGTATCGCATGATACGTTTTACTAATTCCCTGGTGTGCCGATTGCGGAGAATCGTGGTATTCTTTTATTATTGGGATAATCTCGTCTTCTTTTAATACTTTTTTCCACGCGTTATTGTCACCGATACTTTCTTTGATTAGATTAGGCTTATAGTAATACAGTGTGTTACTTGAGTCGAGTCTATATCTTTCGTACCGTGTGGGTGTGGTTTGTACGCGTTCTACCATTTCTTCATACCATGATTTGCTGCGGACTAAGTTTGACTGCGCTAGGGGCGTGTCTTCCGAGATTTTTTCGTAAAGACGAGAGAGTGTGTCCGGAGCTTCGTTCGTGGTACCTTTACGGTGTTCAATTTTAACCTGATTGGCGGATAGCTCTAAAGCCCACCGCGCAAGTCTACCTCGAGGATCTTTGATTCCTTGTAGCCAAATTAAACTAGAGTGATCGGTTATCACCGTGAACTCTGTGGCTTCGAGATAGCAGCGGAGTTTCTTAACCGCGAAAATTACTGCTAAGCATTCCTTTTCGGTGGTGGTATAATTCAATTCCGCACCCCTTAAAGGTCTGCTTAAGCACGTAATAAGGTATTCGTGGTCTCCGTCTTTTTGTGTTAAAATTGCACCGATGCCAGTATCGCTTGCATCTGTGTAAAGGAAGAAAGGTAATTCGGGTCGCGGCGCGACTAAGGTTAAAGCATTTTTTAGGGAATTCTTAACTTCTTGAAATGATTTCTCGTGTTCCACGGTCCAATTCCAGGGTACTTTCGGGCTAGCTAATTTATTTAGTGGCCCTTGCACCTTTGCAATATTGCGTAAGTGTCGGTGGTACCAATTTACGGAACCGTTGAATTGCCGTAATTCTTTACGGTTCCGCGGAGTCGGGCGCTCGAGAATCGGTTCTATCCGTTTTGGGTTCGGTTTGAGGCCATCTTTATCTAAAAGAAATCCTAGATATTCGACGGAGGACTTCGCGAAATGAGATTTCTCTCTGTTAATCGAGAGTCCAGCATCCTGTAAGATATTGAGCACTATGTCCAATAACAGGGTATGCTCCTCAAATGTCCGCGAGATGATTATCCAATCATCTAAATATGCGTGAACCTGGTCGATGAACCTTTCCGGTAAATGGTTATCGCGGATATGTTTGATAAATTTTTCTTTAAGACGGTCGGTCAATGCTTGAAAGGTGGCCGGTGCATTGGTAAGACCAAAGGGCATCCGGACCCATTCGAATTGACCGCGTCCTGGCACTACAAAGCCTGTATATTCTTGTGAATCCGGGTGTATCGGAATATGGTGGAATGCGTCTGTGAGGTCTATAGTACTAATTAGATTTGCCTCAGAGAGAGCATCCAAAATTGTATCCATACGTGGTAACGGATATGCTGATTTTTTTGTATTTTTATTTAATTTACGGTAGTCCATACAGACTCTGGGTCTACCGTCTTTACGATATGTTAATACGACCGGACTGGCAAAGCGACCATTACTTTTCTTTATAAATTTTTTTTCTAAATATTTGTCAATTTGGTCGTTAATAATTTTATTTGCTTCCGCGCTACGTCGGTACGGTTTTAACTTAAACGGTGTTGGATCGATTAATTCGATAACATGTGTTGTTAAATCGGTAACTCCGGTAGACGCGGTGAAATTAGATAATTTTTTGTTTATAAATTCATCGAGAGTTTTCCGTTGTTCATTCGTTAATTCGATTAATTGAACTGAATTTAGGCCGCTGTACGAACAAGAGGTTGGACCTATGGGGCTTTGTACTTTAGACCCATTGATGGACCAATTACCGCGGGTGGTGTCTATAACGACCTTCCACGTGGTTATGAGGTCCATTCCGAGAATTATGGGGGTTGTGAGTCCATCGAGGACTGTAAACCAAAATTCGCCGGTACAATCATTTATTTGAATGTTAAATTTCGCGGAACAACGGGGGGCGGCCACGTGATCGCGTTGGGCGAGCTGGACGCCGGCGCGCGTTATTTCGTCGAGAACTGGTTCACCTCTCGTGAATTCTTTTAATTGGTCATATAATTCTCCAGACATGAAGGTGCGATCGCTACCTGTGTCGAGAAGACCTTTATATTCTTTACCGCCTATTTTTATCAATGTAGTGATATTATTACGCGTTTGAGACGGAAAGGGCAATGCCGGCCCTTTGTATACGAGGCGCTTGTATTTACCAGTCGCGGCTAATATGCCTATTGCTGGCTTACTCAAGGGTAGAGACGTGAGCGAGGATATGCCTGCTCCAGCTGACTGTGTTGAGTCAGGGGAGGGGGATTCGACGCTTGAGTCTGTGTACTCCGTTTCAGAATCAGAGTAATTTTCAAGGTCATAGCTGCTTTCAGAGTCACTAGTATATTCCCAACCCGCATACGCTTGATTAAGCGTTAATGCATTTCGGGGAATATGCTTTGGATTCCGAGCAGTGTGACTGTTACTCGGAATTGCGTTTATGTCAACTGTATCGTGGTTAGATGGATTGTTAATTCTAATCAAATTTTTGTCCGTATTTATTTGTCCGTATTTATCGTTATCGTTAATTGATTTTTCGCCAGGGAGATCTATTCTCTCCTGTCATCCTTGTCGTTTTTTGACGATGAGTTAGGCGAGTTTTGACCGAATGGTGGAAAATCGTGGCTGTAATTGCTATACCATTGTTGCTCATAAGGACTCGGGGGTAAATGTGGCCCTGGAGGGGGATGCATCCCGTGAGTGTTACCTTGACAATTTGGTTGGTAATTAGGCGGAAATTGCGGATGGTTCTGGTAATAACCGTTGTTATGGTAGTAACCTCGACCATAACCATTCCAATTACCGCCACGACCGCGGTTATTATAACCACCCCTGCCGCGATAGTTATTGTAGCGACCGTCTTTCTTATGTGACTTATCGTCACGGTCCCTACCTTTACGTGCGGACGATCTACGTGTCTCCCCCCCTCTTTGCGACGAAGCAGAGCGAGAGGAGCGTGAAGATTCAGAAGTAGAGCGTCGGCGCGATCTACGGGTTGGCGGTGGGGTAGAGGGGGTCTGCTTTTTGTTTTTTTCGCTGTCGGGTTTTGAATTATCGTTATTTGTTTTTTCGCCGTATATTTTTTGTTTAAGTGTATTAAATTGTTTTTTGTAAATTTCTATTTTATTTAAGTTAGTTTCCGGTTGGCTTTTTGTTACCTTTTTGTTTGCATTTTGTTTTGGTTTATTTTCTTTTTTAGATTCCGGAGACGCGAGGGGTTGTGGTTCCTGGTCAGTAGGTGGCGATTGAGTTTCAATCGCATTTAACTGATTTTTACCGCGTGTACTACGAGGCTTTTTGGAGTCGATTTCTCTTAATTTATTTGCGATTTGCATAGTTGCAATTTTCTCCGCGTATTTCCGAATTTTATCTATAAGGCCGTCGTAAGTGGTGAAACTATCTCGGTCGAATTGTAAGATCAATTCGGAGTGGAGAGCAGAATAAATTTTATCGAGTTGATTTTTCTCTGGGATTTTTTCCTGTAGTTTATTATACAGTGCGCTTACTCGGATGACGAACTCTATACCGGTTTCATTTTCTTGTTGAACCGCGCGTTGAATTTTATTGGTTATTTGTTGGTCGTCATTTGCGTCACTGAAGGTTTTCCGGAATTTGGCTGAGAATTCAGCCCACGTTCGCCAAGTCGTTCGGAAGGTCGCGAACCAAGTATACGCGGTGTCCGAGAAGACTTGCGATAACGTTGCTAACGCGTCATCTGGGTTAATGGCGGATGCGGTTAGTTTTTGTTCGAATTCGTTCAAGAATTCGTCAGCATCCAGCTTGCCAGGGAATTTCAGTTCCCAAGATTTAATAATCTTATGTAAGTTGGGTACTGTATTCCTGGGGGCTGGTTGGGGTGGGGCAACGGTGTTAACCGGTGGTGCCCGTGGTGGTTGTGTAACCGTGGGGACAAACGATGTAGATGTTTGTCCCATATAATTTGGCTGATTGTCGAATCGGATGGCACGAGAGGGGAAAGATGCTCCGAGAGAAGGGGTATCGAAGTTCAGTAGGGAGGGGTTAGCTGTTGCAACGGGTCTTGTACCTGACGTTGTGCTTGTTGTTGCACACGTTGTTGTTACCGTGGTTGTCGGTAAGGTGGGGGGTAGTGACGTAAGTTGCGGAAGGCCTCCTCCGGAGGGAAAATACGGCCTATCAATGGATTCCCATCGTGAATCACGCCAGGGGGATTGCGTTTGTCTTGTTTGTAAATCGAAAAATTTTTGCGCGAGTTCATTTATCGCGGTGGTCGTTTCTCTTCTCAACGAATGTAATTCTCGACGGTTTTCCGTTTGTGACAATAATGTTTGTTGCCTTGATTCTTCAAGATGTCGTTCGAACATTTCTTGCATATGTGCTTTAAATTGGTTGTTTTGATTAATTTGATTTGTATTAGATAATTCTAATTGTTGGAAAACTTGTTTTATTTGGGTGAGATTAACTGGGGTTTTCTTTGATTTTGCCGGTCTACCGCGGCGTGTTGTAAACAGTATTTTAGAGATGGTTCCAGTATTGGGAGGGGCGAGAAGGGAGCTTGAAGCGCTTTGCAACGTTTCGGCAGAGGTAATTGGCGCTGTGGAAGAAGCGCCTTGTGCATTACCGGGCGCGTTGTTAGGCGGAGCAAGGGCCGCAGCGTTGTCCTCTTGGTTCTCTTGTAAGGGAGAACTTTGACTGGCATCTTGGTTAGGGGGTGTTCGATACATTTTGTTTTTTGATTGAATTTGAGAGCGTGTTAGAGGTCTATCGTTAGTCGTTTTTCTGTTGTCTTTTTTTTGTCATGTCTACTATTATTTTTTATTTTCTTGTTTTGAGTTCATTTTTTTTTTTTTTTTTTTTTTAATTAAAATTTTTGTTTTTATTAATTGCAAATTACGCGGGTAGCCGCGGTAAATTTGTAGACGTTGTTTATTGTGAGAGAAAAGTATAATTATGTAAGATAAGTTTTTGATTTAATTTATATTATTTATTAAAAAAAAATCAATTGAGAGGTACGCGGAAAATTGTGGTAGATGACTAGACAACAAAAAAAAATTTTCGCGAAATTCAGGAAAAAGAAATTTTTCCTTTATGCCGGTAATCGTGGTAGATTCGCAGAAAAGGAGAAAATTCTTCTCTTAGTTATTTTCCTTCTTCGTTTCTATCCTTTCATGGATAAAGGGAGGGGGGAAAAGGAAAAAAAAGGAATTTTGCGTTTTATTTAATTAAATTAAATTTTATTCTCAAATTTTCATTATTTATTTTATTTGATTAAAAAAAAATTTTTATGAAAGATTTTTATTTTAATTTATTAAAATTCAAATATTTTTAAATAATGAAAAAATATTTGAGGAATTATATTGGAAAAGACGACTTGTGATAAGAGACAGGGCCAAGTTACTAATGTAAACACAGCTGTGTTTTGGACCTGGAGATTCGCTCTATGTAGTGGCTTGTGTGCCACTATAGTGTAAAGAAAAAAAAAATTTTTTTTAAACGCGGATATCACCCATAGTAGACAAAATTGTCGATAAATTTTATATTGGTAAATAAATATTTCAATTTTTATATTAATAATAATAATAAAAGCAGAAGCAAGCTAGCATAATGTTAGGCAAAAGCAATTAGGCATGATTATTTTTTCGAATATAGCCGTGAGAGCGAAAGCGATTGTACATAGTATATAAAGGAAAATTTTCGTAGATTATATACGTATAAGCGTTAAAAGCACTTTTGGTGTAGGAACCTTCTTTGTGATTCGGTAATGTAAAAAAGAAAAATTACGTTGGGCGCCATAAATGTGACAACCAAAATCGAGATTTAATAAAAATGAGAAATTTAAGGGTTCGACTCGTCCGGGAGGCACAATTTTCAAAAAGAAAATTCCCACGTGGTTCCAAACATGTGGGTGCATCTACAGCAGCAGCAACAATGAGCGATTCCGCAGGCAAGCAAGTTTGAAATGAACGAGAAGAGTAATGTCGACTGAACTTACCAAGAAATGACGCTATTGTTGTAGTTGAATAGACAAATTGACCTGCTATCCGTGGTATGGAAATTATCCAAGAGAATGCACACAACTAAGCCACAATATTAATTAAACAGAATATATATTTATTAATTTTGAAATAGTCCATTCTCTACAATACACAAACTAAAGAGTTAAATTATAAACCGCGATATAATATGTGTTTCGTGCGACGGATCGCTTCGCTCTGCTCCTTCAATTGGCGACGACGAAAACGTGGTTTTGTCGTCTGCTCGGAATGCGGTTGACTTACGCCGTCTGGCGGATTATTTTAGCATATATCGCGGGACCATTTAAATTTTGGGGAACTGTTGGTAACGACCATATTTAATAAAATAAAATGAAATACTATTCTTTTCATGATCGTTACAAAATAGATTGTAATTTCAAAATTTTCCTCCAAAATATTTCCGAAAATTATTTGGAGGAAGTGAATAATTTTTAAACTGAAAAATATATAAATAAATTTTAATTTCAATTTTTTCCTCTAAAATATTTCCGAAAATAATTTGGAGGAAGTGATTAATTTTTAAACTGAAAAATATATAAATAAATTGTAATTTCACAATTTTCCTCCAAAATATTTTCGAAAATAATTTGGAGGAAGTGAATAATTTTTAAACTTAAAAATATAGAAATAGATTGTAATTTCAAAATTTTCCTCCAAAATATTTCCGAAAATAATTTGGAGGAAGTGAATAATTTTTAAACTTAAAAATATATAAATAGATTGTAATTTCAAAATTTTCCTCCAAAATATTTCCGAAAATAATTTGGAGGAAGTGAATAATTTTTATACTTAAAAATATATAAATAGATTGTAATTTCAAAATTTTCCTCCAAAATATTTCCGAAAATAATTTGGAGGAAGTGAATAATTTTTAAACTTAAAAATATATAAAGAGATTGTAATTTAAAAATTTTTCTCCAAAATATTACCGAAAATCATTTGGAGGAAGTGAATAATTTTTAAACTTAAAAATATATAAATAGATTGTAATTTCAAAATTTTCCTCCAAAATATTTCCGAAAATAATTTGGAGGAAGTGAATAATTTTTAAACTTAAAAATATATAGATTGTAATTTCCAAATTTTCCTCCAAAATGTTTCCGAAAATAATTTGGAGGAAGTGAATAATTTTTAAACTTAAAAATATAAAAAGAGATTGTAATTTAAAAATTTTCCTCCAAACTATTTTCGAAAATATTTTGGAGGAAGTGAATAATTTTTAAACTGAGAAATATATAAATAAATTTTAATTTCAATTTTTTCCTCCAAAAAATTTTCTAAAATATTTTGGAGGAAGTGAATAATTTTTAAACTTAAAAATATATAAATTGATTGTAATTTCAAAATTTTCCTCCAAAATATTTCCGAAAATAATTTGGAGGAAGTGAATAATTTTTAAACTTAAAAATATAGAAATAGATTGTAATTTCAAAATTTTCCTCCAAAATATTTCCGAAAATAATTTGGAGGAAGTGAATAATTTTTAAACTTAAAAAAATATAAATAGATTGTAATTTCAAAATTTTCCTCCAAAATATTTCCGAAATTAATTTGGAGGAAGTGAATAATTTTTAAACTTAAAAATATTTAAATAGATTGTAATTTCAAATTTTTCCTCCAAAATATTTTCGAAAATATTTTGGAGGAAGTGAATGATTTTTAAACTGAAAAATATAGAAAGAGATTGTAATTTAAAAATTTTCCTCCAAAATATTTCCGAAAATAATTTGGAGGAAGTGAATAATTTTTAAACTTAAAAATATATAAAGAGATTGTAATTTAAAAACTTTCCTCCAGAATATTTCCGAAAATAATTTGGAGGAAGTGAATAATTTTTAAACTTAAAAATATATAAATAGATTGTAATTTCAAAATTTTCCTCCAAAATATTTCCGCAAATAATTTGGAGGAAGTGAATAATTTTTAAACTGAAAAATATATAAATAAATTTTAATTTCAATTTTTTCCTTCATAATATTTTCGAAATTATTTTGAAGGAAGTGAATAATTTTTAAACTTAAAAATATATAAAGAGATTGTAATTTCAAAATTTTCCTCCAAAATATTTCCGAAAATAATTTGGAGGAAGTGAATAATTTTTAAATTTAAAAATATATAAATATATTGTAATTTCAAAATTTTGCTCCAAAATATTTCCGAAAATAATTTGTAGGCAATAAATAAGTTTTAAATTGAAGAATATATAAATAAATTTCAATTTCAATTTTTTCCTCCAAAATATTTTCGAAAATATTTTGGAGGAAGTGAATAATTTTTAAACTAAAAAATATATAAATAGATTGTAATTTCAAAATTTTCCTCCAAAATATTTCCGAAAATAATTTGGAGGAAGTGAATAATTTTTAAACTTAAAAATATATAAATAGATTGTAATTTCCAAATTTTCCTCCAAAATGTTTCCGAAAATAATTTGGAGGAAGTGAATAATTTTTAAACTTAAAAATATATAAAGAGATTGTAATTTCAAAATTTTCCTCCAAAATATTTCCGAAAATAATTTGGAGGAAGTGAATAATTTTTAAACTTAAAAATATATAAATAGATTGTAATTTCAAAATTTTCCTCCAAAATATTTCCGAAAATAATTTGGAGGAAGTGAATAATTTTTAAACTTAAAAATATATAGATTGTAATTTCCAAATTTTCCTCCAAAATATTTCCGAAAATAATTTGGAGGAAGTGAATAATTTTTAAACTTAAAAATATAAAAAGAGATTGTAATTTAAAAATTTTCCTCCAAACTATTTCCGAAAATAATTTGGAGGAAGTGAATAATTTTTAAACTAAGAAATATATAAATAAATTGTAATTTCAATATTTTCCTCCAAAATATTTTCGAAAATAATTTGGAGGAAGTGAATAATTTTTAAACTTAAAAATAAATAAATAGATTGTAATTTCAAAATTTTCCTCCAAAATATTTCCGAAAATAATTTGGAGGAAGTGAATAATTTTTAAACTTAAAAATATAGAAATAGATTGTAATTTCAAAATTTTCCTCCAAAATATTTCCGAAAATAATTTGGAGGAAGTGAATAATTTTTAAACTTAAAAATATATAAATAGATTGTAATTTCAAAATTTTGCTCCAAAATATTTCCGAAAATAATTTGGAGGCAAGTGAATAAGTTTTAAACTTAAAGAATATATAAATAAATTGTCAATTTCAAATTTTTCCTCCAAAATATTTTCGAAAATAATTTGGAGGAAGTGAATAATTTTTAAACTTAAAAATATATAAATAGATTGTAATTTCAAAATTTTCCTCCAAAATATTTCCGAAAATCATTTGGAGGAAGTGAATAATTTTTAATTTAATAATATATAAATAGATTGTAATTTCAATATTTTCCTCCAAAATATTTTCGAAAATAATTTGGAGGAAGTGAATAATTTTTAAACTGAAAAATATAGAAAGAGATTGTAATTTAAAAATTTTCCTCCAAAATATTTCCGAAAATAATTTGGAGGAAGTGAATAATTTTTAAACTTAAAAATATATAAAGAGATTGTAATTTAAAAACTTTCCTCCAAAATATTTCCGAAAATAATTTGGAGGAAGTGAATAATTTTTAAACTTAAAAATATATAAATAGATTGTAATTTCAAAATTTTCCTCCAAAATATTTCCGCAAATAATTTGGAGGAAGTGAATAATTTTTAAACTGAAAAATATATAAATAAATTTTAATTTCAATTTTTTCCTTCATAATATTTTCGAAATTATTTTGAAGGAAGTGAATAATTTTTAAACTTAAAAATATATAAAGAGATTGTAATTTCAAAATTTTCCTCCAAAATATTTCCGAAAATAATTTGGAGGAAGTGAATAATTTTTAAACTTAAAAATATATAAATAGATTGTAATTTCAAAATTTTGCTCCAAAATATTTCCGAAAATAATTTGTAGGCAAGTAAATAAGTTTTAAATTAAAGAATATATAAATAAATTTCAATTTCAATTTTTTCCTCCAAAATATTTTCGAAAATATTTTGGAGGAAGTGAATAATTTTTAAACTAAAAAATATATAAATAGATTGTAATTTCAAAATTTTCCTCCAAAATATTTCCGAAAATAATTTGGAGGAAGTGAATAATTTTTATACTTAAAAATATATAAATAGATTGTAATTTCAAAATTTTCCTCCAAAATATTTCCGTAAATAATTTGGAGGAAGTGAATAATTTTTAAACTGAAAAATATGTAAATAGATTGTAATTTCAAAATTTTCCTCCAAAATATTTCCGAAAATCATTTGGAGGAAGTGAATAATTTTTAAACTGAAAAATATATAAATAGATTGTAATTTCAAAATTTTCCTCCAAAATATTTCCGAAAATCATTTGGAGGAAGTGAATAATTTTTAATTTAATAATATATAAATAGATTGTAATTTCAAAATTTTCCTCCAAAATATTTCCGAAAATTTGTTTGGAGGAAGTGAATAATTTTTAAACTTAAAAATATATAAATAGATTGTAATTTCAAAATTTTCCTCCAAAATATTTCCGAAAATAATTTGGAGGAAGTGAATAATTTTTAAACTTAAAAATATATAAATAGATTGTAATTTCAAAATTTTCCTCCAAAATATTTCCGAAAATAATTTGGAGGCAATAAATAAGTTTTAAACTAAAGAATATATAAATAAATTGTCAATTTCAAAATTTTCCTCCAAAATATTTTCCGAAAATAATTTGGAGGAAGTGAATAATTTTTAAACTGAAAAATATATAAATAAATTGTAATTTCAAAATTTTCCTCCAAAATATTTCCGAAAAAAATTTAGAGGAAGTGAATAATTTTTAAACTTAAAAATATATAAATAGATTGTAATTTCAAAATTTTCCTCCAAAATATTTCCGAAAATAATTTGGAGGAAGTGAATAATTTTTAAACTTAAAAATATATAGATTGTAATTTCAAAATTTTCCTCCAAAATATTTCCGAAAATAATTTGGAGGAAGTGAATAATTTTTAAACTTAAAAATATATAAAGAGATTGTAATTTAAAAATTTTCCTCCAAAATATTTCCGAAAATAATTTGGAGGAAGTGAATAATTTTTAAACTTAAAAATATATAAATAGATTGTAATTTCAAAATTTTCCTCCAAAATATTTCCGAAAATAATTTGGAGGAAGTGA